GCATTTAGCAATGTTTGTGTTGATTAAACCCTAATAAATAAGAAAATAATAAAAAGAAATTAGTATATAAACACACAAAATGATTGTTTTAGTTTAATAATGTCTATTTTATAATTATAATCTCAAAAAAGAATGAATAAAAAAGTATTTTACAGTAGGAAGTAGAAAACTGTTAGGCGATTGGGCGAGGCGAGCCTCAAAGGGCACCTTGTCGCCTAGGCATCGCCTTGACAACTATGTTTAGTCATCAATACTAGATTTAATATCAACAGTTTTCAACCATGTAATACTGAGTGTTGACCAAAACTCAAAGGAATCCCTATGAACGCCATTCTTAGGGGCTGGAAAATATCCAGAAGCCAGACAAGAACTTTACAGTATATCACTCTATGCCCAACAATTGTGTGCCACCTATAAACAAAAATTCTACATTAATGTTTCAGGAAATATTCACCAAATATATCAAGATTTTAAACCATGAATTCTAATGTAAATAATTTGTGATAATAGTATGTGGGTGTATAGAATGTTTAGCAAATGCTGTTCACATCATCATCCAAGCCTTATCCCAATTATATGGGGTCAGCTACAAGAATCCTGTTTAGAAAATGCTGCTCATGTGAAATTTCCAGAACTGTTATAGGCTGGCTGAGAGATAAGGAGATGGGACCACGGAACTTCAGACACCAATAAGGGAAGCAAGAATCTTAGCTGGGTGACTGCAGGATGAGTTCTGGTGGATTGGGGGATATCCTTTAGAATAATCATGTAACATTCTAAGAATGCCAGGGTTATTTGGGGAAGTAGCAAGGGGCTAGCTTCATCAATGCTGTTCTGGAAAATGTATTACATCATTGTACATTTCTGCTGCTTTTTATATCATCAATAAAACTCCCAAGTTACTGATCAAAAAGAAACTTATTACCAAATATGATTAAGCTACAGTTATAGTGTAACAAAAATAAATGCCTAAATAATGTCTGACATAAAAGAATAGTGGAAGAACCCATTAACTAGAGACAACAAAACTCAACTCAACAGAGCATTTACCCAACCATATAGGGCCAGCTACAAAACTTCATGTTCAATATTCCATTCCACCAAGCTATAGTACCTGGATATGCCTAGTTTACCACTGTCAAATGTTGTATGTACCTGGTATGACATGGATATGTGGACACTTGTCTACTTTATAGCATTACCACTATGAAATATGTAAAACGGTATGCTTTAACAAATCAAGCTGTAAAACTCCTGTAATGTTAGAAACTCAATTAAATTTTATAACATACTGGGAATGACCCCCATACTAAGTACGGGACCATTAATCTGAATTATTTCAATTTTTTAAATTATTTATATTAGACATTTAGGTTAGGCTTTTTATTTGATTTAAGAGACTTACCATGTTTTATCTAGAGAATGACCCCATAATAAGGGGTAACTACAGTATTATTTAATTTGAAATTTACTATTTAACTATAAAAATTTAAATTAGAAAAATTAACATGGGTCTTACATCTTTGTAATTGACAATCTATTACGACCTGCTTTGTTTGAAAACCACTATTAATTTATGCTGTTTTTAATATGATTTAAGAGATTAAATGAGGTCTTATTTGTAAGCAGTAGCCCACTTTAATTGGTATTTACTATTTATTTGATAAATTTATTTTTAAAAGCTAAATTAGGTTACACTTCCAAAAAAAGTTAAATCTAATTCGCAATTAATAAATTATTTCATCTAAAAGAATAAAACTCACACCATTTGTATTAATTATTTAGTCGTTTTTATGAATTTCATTTATTTTAATGTTTATCCATTTAATATTTTGAATATTTTTAAGTTAAATTGTTTGTTTAATCGTTACTTTTGAAATGTTTGTTTGAATAAAATTTAGTTACTACCATAACATTTGAAGTCGCCACTTTTTAGGGATTAGGATGCTACCCGTGTGAATTTTAAGAGAGTGGAGTTATCACTTTTTTTGTGAGTGGATAGACTTTTTTAAGAGTGAGAGTTTAACTCCTAAGATTCTATCTATTGAAATTTTACAATGCCACGTGTCTGAAGGTGGGGACTGTTGCCTAAAGACCTTCCTTTAATATATATATATATATATATATATAAGGATGGCAATTTTTCCCATCCCTGACAAAGACCCAATGGGGCCGGGGATGGGGATTGAGGTCCCCGACCCCGATTTTATATATATATATATATATATATATATATA